AAAGGTCAAACAAGTTAGTGTTGTAGAGAAAAAAAAAATTGCATGACATAGTCAAGGATATGAAGTATATGAAGGAAGGATACCTGTAGCCTTAAGCTTGGAAGGCGAGGATATGAGGCCCTGATTATGAATACAAGTATCGTGAAGGCAGGTTTCAAGTGGCTTGCAGAAAATAATGGCAGTCATAAGCCCCCACCAATAGTCAAAACCAGTGGAGCAGTCCGGAGCAGGTTTGAAGAAGAAGGGGCCAAAATCTTGAAAAATTTTGGTGTTCTCTATCAGAATGGATTCAGCTTGCCTAGGATCTTTGAAGTAGATTCTGGACCCAATCTCCTCATGGATGGTTGGGTGGAAATAAGGATAAGAGATACCCTGGGAAAGACCTAATTGCCTAGACCATTGATTGGGACAGTATGTCTCAAAACTACAGTTGGACATCTTGCTAGAGGATATGGAACAGCCAACCAAGACATGTCTAGAGGTGAGAATGTGTCTCCAAGTCTCATTTTGTTCTTGGACTTGCTCATTGTGTAAATCAGAAGGGTCTGTGAAGAGGAAGCAAAGTCTACTGGAGGAGAATTGAAAGTTTTGAAATGGCATGTACAAGTTGGAAGGTCTCCTCGAAGGAAGGTTGTAAAACATGGTAAGATGATTTCTGAAAGTGAGGATGGGTTGGCTGTTATAAGTGAGCAATTGCTCAACATACGAGTGGAAAACTAGTTTCAAGGTGTTAGCTGGTCGGGGTTGTGCCTCAGGGAAATAGGCATACAACCAGGCCTGGAAGAGCCAGAAGGGGCCACCATAGTTGCCAGAAATCTTCTTGTCCACAAAGGAAAATAGGGCCTTGTAAAGGGTGGCAAGAAGATAAGGGGCTAAAGCCATAAGTTGGCCATCTTGCATACACAAGGCAAGGGGGAGGTATTCCTTCGTGATCTTGTACCTAGGGACACAAAAAACAAACTCACAAAGCCAAAGTAAGTAAAAAGCAGTTCTTTCTTTGTCCTAGACAGGGGAACCAGGCTTGCCTTTGTATTTTTTGGCGAAATCTGTATAGCACATGTCAGTGTTTAAAGTAAATGTCACTTTTGGAGGCTCAAGGAGAGCATGAATTGGATTGCCCAAGATTGGGAGACCAGTCAAGTGAGCTACATCTAAGATGGTAGGGAAAATCATACCAAAATTGAGGAGTAGGGAGTTACAAGATTGCGACCAAAAGCATGCAGTAGCAGCAATCAGCCCTTTGTCCATGTCATAATTTTTAGTTGACAGTCTAATTGCTTCACTAATGCCCTGGTGCTTCCATACTTCAGCGTCATGACCTTCAATTCTCCTGGCCTAGCTTCGCCAAACAGAGTCTGGTGACCTCCACGATCTAAGTGGGTTTTTGCTAACATTCCATTAGTCCACTTAAGTCCAGGTTGGTTGAGAAGAAGGTTCTCACCATTACCAAGGGGATAGTATGGAGCTAGCTCATCTGGGAAGTAAGACGCGAAGGTAGGGCCTAGAGTAGCCTTAGCGACAGAGCTTGTGCTGGGCAATAGGGTTGCACCAAATCTTAGAGGAACGATACGTGCTCTAATAGGGTCTTGGAAGCGGAGTAGGTCTTCATTGTTCTCCTCAGATGAAGATGGTTGAGATTTTATCGATGCCATGGCTTAGGGTTTTGTGGTGCTCTAGTTTTGAACGGCAATGCTTGAGAAGAAGGAGTACAGTCTGGGGAGTTCGAATCAGAGGGAAATGAAGTGGTTTGAAGTTGAAAAGGTGGGTCTTTTATAGCTTATGATGGGGCCAGTATATTTAAATGCTCTTATATTGGGCTGTAGTTTATGTTTGTTTTGGGCTCGTATTAAGAAATTTGCTATTGGGCCCCCTTGTTGAAGTTCAATATCATATGACTTGGACCCCCACAAGGGGGGCATCCCATGACCCCCCTCTCTTTGACTGGCCAGTTTTTTAAAAAAAAAAATTTCTTCTTTTTTTTTCCTTCTCACTGCAATCACCAGCCCCCACGTGTGTGTGGGGGGGTGGGGTGGTGATTGGAGGGGGTCTCAATAAATTCCGCAAGGTTAATTCATATGATATTTAACTTGAACAAGGGGGCCATTGTTTGCCCCAAGTCTTGCCAGTCTCTGTCAACAGATGGTCCACTTAATCGAGGACACGTGGCAAAGTCTAAAGGAATGTCCACCACTTGAAAGTGGGCTCTCTGCATGTGGGTCACCTAGAAGTGATGGGGAATTTTTTAGCACCAGTCATGGAGTTAGTGGGCACATTTTCAGGAGGAAGCATGAGACAAAGCAGGAGCCTTGCTCTGTCGACAGAAGTTTGAAACAGTTGATGGCAATGAAGTAAACACAAGAAAAGGGAGATCGACAGATAGAAGTGGAGATTTAGTATACTTGGAAAGCCTAGAAGGGAGATCGTTGGTTTCGATATCCGTATATTGTTTTTGTGGCCCATCATTGCATGATCCCACACGTCTACACCATAACTGCCGTTGTAACTGCCCCCTGACTTCGAATCTTCAAGTCCACTCTGCCAAATATTGACTCTTCCCTGTCGACCGTCCTTTTCACCATTGTGGGGCATGTCCTTCATCATTATGAGACAAAAATCGACAGAATATTGTCCACTAAACACAACCACAATCCTTGCAAATTGGGCCACTGAACCACAACACTTGGCGACTCACTGTTACTGCCCCTGACTTTGAATCATCAAACTTTGGCAAATATTGAATTTTCCCTGTAATTTAATCAAAATATATTCAATGTCAGTAAACTTGAAAATATGTTTGAAATAACCTTTTTCTGTATTGTAATGACTTAAACAGAATTATTGTCCTACATTTTACGTAACCAAAATACACAACTTATTTATATCAAAAACAAATATACATCTCGGGTTTATAATCAAAAAAAATGAAAACTACTTTTTTTTTAAAAAAAGTTCACTCATATTTTTAGCTAAATTATGATTGGTTATTTTTAAAAAATTCCTCTTTGCACCTATTTTTCCCACATCCTGCCAACAGCTGCTCCATTCAATTGAGGACACATGGCAAGTCCACCTGAAGACAAGGGTTATCAACTAACATTGAATCTTGCATGCCACCTGACTTACACGCTGGAGCAGTTACTGGCAGTTAATGGCATGCCACCTGATTTAGTGGCCAGCCTCCAAGAGGAAACATGAACGAATTGGGAGTCTATATCTGTCGAGGAAAGGCTAAAAGGACTTGGGCACAGGTGGCAACTTCAATTATATGCACTTCGACAGGTACAAGTGAAGGTTTTATGTGGTTTCAAGACACGAAAATGACCGTGCAGTTACAGAAGTTGCACAAAAGCAGTTGCAGAATCGGCAGATCATGGGGTCGTGGAAAATAATAGCTATAAAGGGCAGGATGTTTGCAGAGAGAGAGGACATGAACAACAACACAACAACTTACTTTCTACATTGTAACTTCTGAGTAGTTTTTTCCCTTCTACTTTCTACTCTGTTACAAACAACACAACAGCACAACAACTTACTTTCTACTTTCTACTTTGTTACCATCAGTTCATCGAAAGAAGTCTTCATCCTTTTCAGGCATTCGAACCAATACCACAATTGCTTGATTTTCTTCTTTAACTTGTCAACTTTAAATTACTGCTTCGTTGCTGTCGATATAGGTCGACCATAATTTTACTAACAATAAACCCATCACTTTCATAGTTAACATGAAATAATTTCACAACTCCTATTCGTTACTCATAATTCATATAGCAATCAACATGGAGATAAAGTAACGAGTTCGTTGGGTTACTTTCTCCAAGTAACACCCAAAATTAATTGCCATTTGGATTATATACAAAATACATGTGCTGGTATGTAATTTTGCAAACCCACATGGACAAAATTCGTATTTTACTCGAAATATAATACTAATTTACTAAAACAAGTCATAACAAATCAATATGAAGCCAAACACATCGTTAGTTGATAAACCACACCGCAAAAAACCCTTCAGTTAGATCCAACCAAATATGGAACAGAAACAAGCAACCCGCAATACGAATCTTGGAATACAAACATAAGCCAATTTCCCACCCAAAACAATACACAGACAACCCATATATATCTCACCTTCAATTAGTGTTCAAATTCACAAGTCACTGCAAACACAAATGACAACATCACTCTAAACAATATGGGAAATTTACAACTCGTGGCCTTGTACATAAGTAACGTTGTGCCATTTCCTAGCATTGTACGTAACCAATTATTTACACGCTACGTACAGCAATCTGTGCAAAATGAAAACTACATACATTATTTACATGTGTTTTCAATGGCTAGTACTATCTACCTAATAGATTAAGGGAATAAGTAAATCATACAAATTATACAATTACCTGATTCACCTTATCAATTGTGGTCGAATCATTTTTGCACACTACTGCTTCAACACTAACGTATTGGCCCACGGGCTGCTTGGAATCAGGAGAAGCATCGAAAAATAGTCGTCATTGCTTAATGTGCGGTGTACTTAGATCCACTAACCCAGTTGTGCAGCGAACGGGCAATGACTCCGCATTGTACTCACGATCAGTTATGTGGGTTGTATCTGCATCTGAGTTACTACCCATTGTTCGGCTAAACCAAACCTTAGGACACGTTCACTTTGTGTGCCCAATGCATTTGCAATTCCCACATTTTCTTGGTCTTCGACAGTTAGACGAGGCCCATCCTGGGTTCCCTTTTGTCTTCACAACATCAGGATCTTCTACTTCAAATTGTCGAGGGAATGAATGTTTCCCTTTGTCTCCATTCCCATCGTTCAGATTCCTCTCATATAACTCTTTTATCCGGCTCGTCATCGAAAGACATGCATCCCTAGCCTCTTTGAAACCTTCCGTTGATTACGAGGCATAGAAATACATTTCATTGTAGGAAGAACTCAATATCCCATACCGGGCCGTCTGTGTTGTAGTGCTATCAATTGAGGGTTGAGGCCATTACTGGCCATCCTTGCTTGCAGCCCTTGTCCATCTATGCAGCACACAAGTTGGGGGAATTTGCATTAAATTTTCGACTTTCATAACACATATCATGTGACAGCAAGGTAGCCCCAACGACTCAAACTTCATGCAAGAACATCTCATTGTAGCATCCACTGGACTGTGTGTTATTATCCATGATCTATCCTTCAATTTGTACTTATGAATATAGTAGCATTTCTGACCATCCAGCAAAGGGAACACGTCCTTGACATTCAACTTCCCCTCTTCTAAGATTTCATCATGGAACATTCTAAATATATTTCGGGTGAATAGCTCAGCTCCATGTCTCCCTATATCTCGCAGTGGAGTAATCAATACCGGAAAAGTGTTATTTGTTTCAGCATCATCTCCAGCCTCGTTATACCTTATCCTTGCAAGAGCCCGATCATAGTGCCTAACAAATTCATATAGCTTCAATTTGTGTTAGAGGAAGGGATTGAAATAAGCATTCATACACTCCAAGTGCTGAGTGCTCTTCATCCCAGCAAAGAAATGTCCGCACATATATGCCTAAGCCCACATATGACGCTTCTCATATGTCTCCAACACCCAACTGTTGGTTTGATGTCCAAATTTTTCGACCATTGTCGTCCAGCCATGCTCAAAGTTTGTCTCATCCATTTTCATGTCCATGCACTGCTTGAAAGCATGTGCAAAGCCACTTATGTGAACATTTGAAACAACATTTTTCCCAAGATGCCAATTACATAATCGATGTCTTGCATCTGGAAATACTTTTCTGATTGCCTTTCGCATCGCCTTATCCCCATCTGTCAGTACGGACACAGGTGCTTTATTGCCCATCGCCTCTATAAATGTTTCCAAAACCCATGTGTATGTCTCACTTGTCTCATTAGCTAGCAAAACACATGCAAATATCGTGGTCCTAAAGTGGCTAGTCACACCAGCCAACATAACAAAAGGTTTCTTGTATGCATTGGTTCTGTAAGTTGAGTCAAATATCAACACATCACCAAACTTTGCGTAGTCGGCCCACGATTTCGAATCTACCCAGAATAGATTTTGTAACTTGTTATCGTTACACACATCATACTTGTAAAAAAAAATGTGCATCAACATCAAGTTTTGCACATAAGTAAACCAACGCACCCTGCTCATCACCATCCTCAACTTCTACTCTACGTTCGGCTTGAATATGGTTGTGCAGATCCGTACGGATAAAACCAACATTCTCATAAGACCCGGATTGATTTACCATATAGTCCATGATTTGGCTAGTCTTCACACCGACGTTGTGCATAGCCATTGCTTGAGCTTTGTCAGCGCTGTTTAAACTGTGATGTAACCTCAGATACATCACACAGTGTTGTTCCGCCAATTCATGGTTGTGGTCTACGACGAAGTGAGTCACAACATACTTTCCCCCTTCACCAGCATCTGCATCGTACCGTATGCGAAATTGGGCTTTGCAACCTACTCTTGTTAGTGCCTTGGGAGCTCTACTCTTCTCAGCAACACGGTCCAAGTATTTTGGTAATCTCTAACCTTCCCTTGAACACAACCAAAGCCTAGTAACGACCTTTCCCTCTTTATTTGTGTTAAATCTGGATTTTCGTATACTAAATCCCTTGGCTTTAGCATACGCATTGTAGAAAGCTTCTCCATCTTCGACCAAATCAAATTTCTGTTCCAGAATAGCACGTTCAACATCACCAACCATGTCATTGCGATGAGCATCGTCAACCATTTCTTTTTTCACATCGGCTCTGCCATCTTCAACGTTCATGTTGGTTGCTTCTTCATTGCTCAGACCAGCTTCACAACCATGTTAAGGTTCTACTCGAGTTTCATTCATCAAACGAATGTCATCTGCTTCATTTGGAATGTCATAATCATCACCTTCCCTTTTAACTTCCGCTGGGGCCATACTGCACATGACATTAGTACAAACAATTACTTGATGACCGAAAAATGTTAACACAAACACAAACATGACATTTTCACACGGTTTAGTTGTTTGTGCAAACACAAACACTCGCTTGAGAAAGAGAAAGGTTAGTTGCCAATGGAGGGGTTTTCGTTTAAGCGAAGCGTAGAGCGGTTGAAGTTAGGATGGGGGTTTAGTTGAGGGAAAATAGCTAAAGTGAAGAGGTCAGAGAGACAAAGAGGGATACAGAGAGAGGGAGAAAGCTCCATACCTTATATCTAGTTGGAGAGAAGGGTTTCACTTCAGCAATGGAACCAACACAGCCTTGTAGTTCCGTTGTTGTTGGAAATCGCCCGTTATACTGTTCCCTACAGAGCTTCGTCAATGGAACCAACCCAGCAGGGGCTTCTCGCTGTAAATGGAAATCAAGGGTTACACTGACTCAACCTTACACAGAGAGAGATAGAGACGAAATACAGAGAGTGAGTGGCACGCAATCATGCAAATACAAGCATTAACCGGTTACCCCGGTTTCAACTTTTTCACGATTAAAAAATTCAATGGTTTTGATCAATTATTATAATCTAACGGCTAACAATTGGGTTGCATATGGTGTGCAACCTTAAGGGGGTTGCACACTTAAACAGGACCCTTCCAATTATTAACTTTTAATTTTAAAAAAAAAATCTACCAAAGAGGTCTAAATATCTTTGTGCTCTCTAAATTTAACAACTCATTTAAATGTCTTTTCTTTGGAATCTACTATTTGGAATCCAATTCCTTACACATTTAATGATATGAAAATCTATTTATTCTGTATTTTTTAAAAATTATAAGAATGATGGTGAATGTTTTAATCAAAAATAAATTTTTTTCTAAGAAACCATTTATTCTGTATGGAAATCTATATAAAAAACTTATTTGTATATCATTACTTGTTTAAGACTTATTTCGGTAATAGGTTAAAATAGCCAAAAAAATTACTATAAAAAAGTCAATTATTCTCTTACACGTCTTTTCATAAAAATTCAAAAATAATTAAAATAATCAATTTTCAAAACAACCTTAAATCTAGACTATGATTGCAGATTTTCAATATTTGTTCGTAACAAATTAGTTACAACAATTTACATATTCAAAAACAATAATTAGAATAATTTTTAAATTAAAAATATGTAGATCACATTTTTAAATATAACTCATATTATATCAATTTAATTTACATCATATATTTAAATTTTGAACATTTCTTTAAATATTTTTTTTCTCAATAAATAACACTTCTAAATAAGACTTTTATTTTGGGTGGGTAATTTCTAAATAAGACTTTCTAACCTTAAATGAAGACTAGTCATCATCGAGAAATAATATAATAATAACCAGTGACTAGTCAACACCGTAAATTGCACTCCATACTAATATCATTGTTATAATTTGGTAATAAATAGTAAAAAATAGTAAAATTATAGTAATTGTGCTCTAATAGTTAGATGTTATTTTGGCAGAACCAAACACAGAAATTAGTGTGTTCGGGACAACTTGTGTTTGTTCTATAAAAATGGCAATTTTGTAAAAAATTATCTGTTTTGCTGGAAGAAAAAGAAAGAGGAAGGAAGGGAAATGGTTGGTTTTGACTGAGTTGGTGAATATAACAGCTACTAAAACTTGTGTCAAATTTGGTACAAGCTTTGGCATTTGCCATTTTTAACGGTTATTATATTTACCATCGCAGCACCAGTGTTGTCTCATAATAAAATTTTAATACATTAAGGACAAGTACAAAAAATTTTCCTTAAAAAGTCCATACCACTATTATCAAAATATTAAACTTTAAAATAATACAACTTTTGATCTAGATGTCGATTTTTAATAAAATTAGTATTTTTAGAATTTCTCATCAAGGTCTATCAAATAAGATCCATGTTGAATATTAATTTTTTTAAAAAAAAAATTATTACTGTCGAAATTGATGTAAACAGTAACATATTATTGGTTCACAATAACATATTACTCTGGCAATATTATCTAAAGAAAGAAAAAAAGAATATTTTATTTTATCCTTGATCAATTATGCGCCTTCTCTATAAGGGTTTATGAAAAAAAATAAATTATGTTGTCATTTTCACCAAACAATGGTCCAACATAGGAGTTTTGGCTAAATTTCCCACGTGTATGTAAAACATGTAAAAATATTTTAAAATATGTAAAAAGTGTATTGAAATTATAAATTATTTGACATTTTAGGTTTCTTATTAATAACTCTTAAAATTGTAAGTAATATGACCTTTACCCCAAAAAAAATAAAAATAAAATAAAGGTAAAAGTAATTCTATAAACAAAAAATTTCAATTAAAATAATATCACTAATTTTTTAATTCAGCTTTGAACTATTATGTTGGCTTTTTGGCTTTCGAAGGTTATTGTTGTGATTGCGAACGTGCCAGCAAGAATCAATTTAGTCCTTACAGAAATTTAATTGCCAACCAATTATCAAACGACTGTGTTTTAGTTCTCTCAAGCTCAATGAAGAGGACTTTTACTGGTGGCTTGATTTAGGAGAATTTAAACAGAATACCAATCAAATAAAGAAAATCTGAAGCATTCCACTAGAATGAAAAACTTACAATGATTCGAAGCGACAATCTATTTGAAACTACTCCTATGAATGAAAATGCAGTGCATAATTTGAAGTACTGGAATGTAAAGAACAAGGTATGTAAAAGTAAAGTAGAATAAGACTGGTTTTTTAGATCTGAGTCCGGGGGCTTTTTCCAGGGCCTTCTCTGCTATTTATACTGCTCAAAGATGACAGTCGAACTGTATTTCCAACCGTCGAACTACTCCCCCATGATCACTGATTATGTAGCCTCAAGATTAGCTCCACTATGTCATCATTTGCAGTTAAGCTTCCCTCCTAAATTTGAATTTAAATAAGAGTAATCGCTGATGCCACATCACCTTGCATCTCATTGTTGATCCACTGCTACTCAGATCTCATAACAACCAATATCAACTACCACGTGTACGATCAGGATCGAAGACTTGAATGGTCTCCCCATATTACCCTTACTTTGCCACGCGTCGAATTGTAACTGGCTTGTACAAAATATGTAGCCAACATTACCCCCCGCACTAATATACCCAAGACTTGGTGATATTAGTGGATCAGGGTCTTTTTCCCACGTCCTAGAACGTGCATGGGTTTTGCATCTTCCCAGAAATGCAACTGTCGCTCACCATCTGTATTAAACTCTCGTTTAATCCTTTGAACACTTCCACCGTCTTAGCATTCGAACAGACTGATACATTTCATGGCCAAATTAATTTTTTCCTCCAACGATCAAGCACACGAAGAGTTATATGTCGATGTTGTTCCTTCTCAAAAGAACATCCATGCATTTATTAGCCACCTTTACCCACCTTTCTATATTCAGGTCATGGATGCCTTTGCAAATTATCAATCCTTGGACTTCGAACATATTGCCCTTAATCCTTCGATCCAGAAACTCACAAATATGGACATGGGAGGTTCTTCTTCTGTCTCACCCTTGGACTATGAACAAATAGCTCTCAATCCTTTAATTCAGAAAGTTGCAAATATGGACATGGGAAATTCTTCTTCACAATCCTCTGCATAGGACAAGGCTGCGACTTCTTCCTCTTCTGGTGCTTCCGACTGGACAAGTTGGTCAAAGCCTGAGTCTTGTGATTTGAGGGAACAAATTAACCATCACTTTGTCGAATTTACTGACCCTTTGGAGTTCCCTTCTTATGCACGAAGCTCGGTGGTCTATCCTTACGTGCCCATTAACCATCGACGCAGTTTGGAGGAGAATCTGCTTATGGCATGGTATGCATCCTCCATGCCTACAAAGATAGTGCACGCCACCCGACGCCTAGAAGAGGCACAAGGGTACAATCCGTCATTCTTAGCCCAGAAGGCGAAGATTTGTTCTTTTGACTGGCTTGATTATATTAATGCCATTATTCCTTCTACCCTCGTTCCACCTCCTGAAATGGAAGCATCCACACCTTCTCCCCTGCCCAATCCTCGTTGGATAGAGAGATTGAGGCTTGCCCTCTCTGTAGATAAGATCTTTCCACCTTACAAGCCTCCACCTTCCCCCACTCTTGCTGAACGGAAACAAGCTCTACTTCTGCTCACGGCTTTCTCTCATTTACCCTTCAATGTTCTTGAGGACGAAGTTCCTCCCAAGAACCTTCGATGGGCTTGTGATATTCTGACTCGGGGTCATGCTCTCAATCCCCTTGCCCAAGCAGAACTTTACATGTTTTTGGACCAGCTTCCGTTGCTTCTCCACTGGCATCGGACCTCTATGGCCACTACACGATCTTTAGACCAACTTTCATCCCTTCGAATTCACGCCCAGTACAAAGCAGAAAACTTCATTGAAGAATTCGATGATTTTAAGAACAAAGATTCTGCGTACTAGGATGACTTAGAGATGGACGAATTGGAACAAGGATTGAGAGAAACAGCTTTCGAAATAAAGGCTGAAGAACTCTTTTACGAAGTGAGAGCTCATCAACTCATGCAGCCAATGTTAGAAGAAATAGAGAACAGAATAAAGAAAGAACAGAAATTCATTGATTATAGTTGGACTAAATTTCATGATCTTGTTATATATTCCATTCCTTATTTTTATGAGCTTGAGTTTGTACCCAAATAGGGCCATTCGATGTAACTGCTTTTGCTTTAATACAAGACTTCTCTTTGTTTGATATGGTTTGATCTTGTCTCTATTTGTCTTTAAAAGCAATTTCAGAGCTTCGAACTGAACAATCTTTTCCTTCGAACC